AAATATGAATTGGTCAAGTAGGTATATCTTAGAGTTCTTCTAGATATCCTTAATAATCATCATCAATATACAAGTGGGTATATCTTAGAGTTGTTCTAGATATCCTTAACAATACGATTCATTAATTCATTATTTTCACTTTAACAATTCATGATCATCATTCAAAACGTTCATCATCATTAATTCATTATAATCAATAATCAAACAATCGTCATAATGCATAATAACAAATAGCGGCCTAGTCTCGAGTGTTAACACCCGAACTTACCGTCATGCATCACATAATGTTTATATGTCACAAACATCATTTTTAGTGTACAAAATCATATTTATATTGTGCATAATTAATTGGTATCAAAAATAGGATTTTAGAGCATATTTTTAGGAACAATTTCATCTGGAATTGAGGAAAATAATTTAAAATAATCAATTAATTTATAAAAATTGGTTTATATAATTTTATATAATCCATTAATTCATAATAATCGATTTTTACAATTTAAATAATCAATTAATTCATTATAATCGATTTTTACAATTTAAATAATCAATAAATTCATTATAATCGATTTTTCCACTATAAATAATCGATTAATTCATTAAAAAATCGATTTTTATAATTTAAATAATCCATTAGTTCATAATAATCGATTTTTACAATTTAAATAATCAATTAATTCATAATAATCGATTTTTACAATATAAATAATCAATTAATTCATTATAATCATATTTTACAATTTAAATAATCAATTAATTCATTTTAATCGATTTTTACAATATAAATAGTCGATTAATTCATAAAAAATCGATTTTTACAATTTAAATAATCCATTAATTCATAATAATCGATTTTTACAATTTAAATAATCAATTAATTCATAATAATCGATTTTTACAATATAAATAATCGATTAAATGGTACTGACTTCGAACCACTGATCTGAATAAAATTCTAATCGATTTTTAGTAAGTAAATAATCGATTTTCGGCCACTATTCATCGTCTTCGACCTTCGGTCCATTTTCGGACATATCAATTTTAGTTACCAAACTTCAATTAAACTATATAGAAATGTTCTCCAAGGTTCATAGATCATTTTATAATCATTAAAATATATTTTTAACATCAAATTCAAGGTTTATGATTCTTGGTTCTTCAAACATGTCAAACACAAAAATCAACCAAATGACCATTTATGAACGTAAAAACAACCTATATGAACATTCTAATCTTTAGATATATCTACGGGCTTACCTTGAAGGTAAATGAAGGTTTTGAATATTTTCCAGCGGAACTTCCGGCGATGATTACTCCCCACTCCGGCGACTTCGGCGGCAACTAACAACACCAGACTGCTCCCTTCACTCTTATGAACACAATGGTATAATTTTCCAGAAGATTGGTGCAGAATTGGTAAGGATGGAGTATCCTTATATAGAAGAAGAGAAGGGGAAGAGGACACTGGCTGACTCATTTCTGC